TATACTGTATATATGATGACTTGCTTCCAGATAGTATATTTTACATTAAAAATTCTCTCAAAACAAGTTATTATGATGCTTATGAAGTATTTATCTGAGAAATAAATACAGAGAAATACTACTACTGCTAATAAATAATAATAATAATAAAAGTAACTTTTTTTTTTACAGTGAAACAGAAGAATGAAGACAACAACAACATTTCAAATCCTCCAAAATCCACAATAAATATAAAAAGAGTAGTGACTCACCACGTTTGAGTATGTTTCCCTCAATGTGTTTTTGCTGTTTATGTGCTGTATTAAGTGCCCAGGGTCTGCTCGTATTTTAATGGAGAACAGGAGGTTGCAATCATTATCTCTCTGCTCTCCTCTCTCGATCTTTCCTTCTTCTGTACTGTGGGTTGAGTCTCCACAGACTGCCATGATGTGGGTGTTTTGTATAATACCCACAAGCGCGCAAACCCTCCCTCTCCGTTCCCTCCCTTTTCAGTTGATCTCTTTCCACAAGTTCCTGTTTGCAAAAACTGCAGCAGCATTTCTGTTTTGATATCTGCAATGAATATTTTATTTATTTTGCAGAATACTTATATCACCCCATGCATGTATTCGATCCTGTCCTGCCATCTACAGCATGTGGGCTTTGATCCCTCATAAGGCACTATACTCATGTGCATTCAACCGCATATGCATTTCTACAGGTCTGTCAGATGGTGATCGAACATAAAACAAGCTGCGTTAACATGAACCTCAGGAATCCCAGCATAAGCACTCGTTAGATGGGATCACATCCGCCCTGGCAGTGACAGTTAAGAGGGATATGATACTTCAGACCTCCCAAGGGCCGGCTTTTAATGGGGCCATTCCGGCCCTTGAGTCCAGTGCCATCTATTACAGCTGTGACCTCCAAAGGATGTGAATGGTGTAGAGGATACTCTTTTTTTAAAACATCTGTGTCCTTGTGCAATGATGCTTTCTTCATTAATGTGAATGAGCAAAGTGTGATAATCGTTTTTCACCTATTACCCCACAGGTCTTTCTTATTTTATATTTTAGATCACAGAAAAGAATACTAGGCATAATAATATAAAGATCAGTTTTGGCAATGCCATGCAAGTGCTGCTTACATCTTTTCGATAAAAGACATCAGTTTGTCAAAAGTATATTTCAATAGCATTTCACATCAGGAATAAAATCTGACATAAAATATTGACATGCACAGTATCTGATTTGATACCATGTTGGTTATCTGGCCATATTAGATATATTATTTGATTGTATCAGTCAATATTGTATATCTACTGTATATTTTATATAAATGCTAGTTTTTCCTTTTTTTTGAATTTGGATTGTTTTCTGTCATCTAACACTCACTTAATCTCAAATATATAATAACTTAATAACCCTTATGTATAATGTAATTAGCAAAATTCAAAATAAATAAATTTTTCGTAATGACCGTTAGAACATTATGAAGTCTACATCTTTTAAAGGGGTCATATGATGCGATTTCAAGTTTTCCTTTCTCTTTGGAGTGTTACAAGCTGATTGTGCATAGATAAGATCCCTGAAGTTGCAAAGACTAAAGTCTCAAAACCAAAGAGATATACTTTATCAAAGTTAAGACTCTGCCATGCCCCCCTAAAACGGCTCGTTCTAACACGCCCCCACATATCTACCTCACTATGTGGAAATATTTGCATAATGCGGCCCAAATGTTCACGCAAAGAAAGAAGGCGTGGTTTCAGTAACCACAGTTAGTGTTGAAGCAGCCATGTCAGGGAGACGCTGTGTCGAAAGCAAAGCAAAAGCAGTTTATTTGGCCTTCCGAAAGTAGATGCATTTAGGAATCTTTAAGATTACTTACAACAGAACAGCAATGCATTTTATGGACGACCGTTTCGTGAAACTAGGAGAGGAGGTAATTCTGAACATTAAAGCATGTCAACATATTCTGTTACACCAAATACACAAAATAATGATCTTTAAAAAAGCATCATCTGACCCCTTTAAAACAATTTTTTCTTTATTTATTAATTTTATTTATTTAGACAAAATAGTATCAAATTGTATTATTGTTTTTTTTCTTTGTTTGTTTTTTGGTTATTTGCCATAACAGGAAAATAATTGTCTTATCGTCCAGACTTATATCGTTAATATTGATGCATTCTCTTAGTATCATAAATTGTTTATTAAGTCTAAATCATAAACAAACTGTGTTTATCAGGCCCGTCCAACTAATGTACCATTCAAAAGCTTTCTTTCTTTCTTTCTTTCTTAACACTTTTACTCAGCAATGATTACAAAAGATTTCTATTTGAAATAACTATTCATCCACAACCCTGAAAAAATGCATCATGGTTTCCACAAAAATATTATGTAGCACAAAATCAACATTGATAATAAAAGAAATGTAGCAAATCAGAATATTAGAATGATTTCTGAAAGGATCGTGTGACACTGAAGACTGGAGTATTCAAATCAGCTTAGTCATCTGAAGGATCTGGGGATCCTCAAATGCAGTGTGTGTTTTGCTTCAAGAGAGCAACCATACATTTGTGTTGTGTTTTACTTACTTTTTTTATGTTCATTCATTCATTCATTCATTTATAATTATTAATCATTTAATCATTTTATTATTATTCAATATAATCATATAATCATTTATAATAATCATTATAGTCATTTATATACCCATTTCATTAATTCATTCACTGATTATTCATTTATATATATATATAAACTGAACAAAATTATAATTTTGGTATAACAATACCTTTTGAATTTGTGCTGGTCAGATGAAGTCTGAGCATTGTAACATACGCAACTAAGACTATTCAATAAACTCTGCTCCTTTTTATCATCACCACTTCGTCTCCTGCTTCTGCTCTTCTCTGGCTTTTTCCTCGGCCAACTTCTTGGCTGATAGAAGACTGTTAATACCAGACAAGACTTGCTTTTAAGAGGTTTTGGGTATCAGACTGCTTTGCTGATGAGTTGCTCTGTTACCAGACAAAACAGATATTTTCTGACGGGATCTGGCGTCCGGGGCTGGATCTTAATTATCTGGCGTGGAGGCATGATCTAACACATCACAAGAATAAATTACACTTTACTAGAGTTAAAAATGTATTATTATTTCACAATACTACTGTTTTATGGTATTTTTAATCAAATAAATGCAGCCTTGATGAGACACCATACTGAAAACTTTGGTGTCTCTATTAAAAATGTGCTATTTCAACTGGAAAACAGGACTTCAGACTGTATAACAATTTCTCTTTTCTTTGTCTCCATCCTACACTTCTTTCTTGCTCCCTCAGCCCGTGGTTATGCAACAGAGCAACTGAATTAACGATCAGTGTTGATACAGGGCAATAAAAACAACACTGTCATTTCTGATGCAAACATCTGAAATGACACTGAAAAGCACAGCAGGCTACAGTATGCTCAAAAGAATGACATGAAACTATGCACACTAATTCACTATGGAATTTATTTAGTGCATATTGATGTATGATCATGTTTTCATGCTTTTTTTAATATAAACGTATCAGTTTGGTGAGTGCTTCATTTAATCTGTAACATTAACTTCACACTAACATTAAGTTCTCTTATAACTGCCCGAATAACAATTACGTTCTCATGTGCATTATGGAAAAGGCATTTGTTGCAAATGTTTATCCACTGTAATCTAAGTTTAAAAGAAAGGGTGCGTATGCAAATGTGTACTGAGTTTATGAAAATCCTTTCCGTTCTAGTCATGTAGGAACTTGTACCAGCTGCAGGGAAGGTAAAGTTTTTTTTTTTTTTTTTATTGAAATTTTTAGTATTTGACCAAGTTGGAAACAAAATATTATGACAAGCCAGAAAAAAGGTGATTTTTAATTTTATTTAATTTTGTTTACATTTTTATTGCCTGTTTGGTTATGTGTGATTCACAAACAAACAAACAAACAAACAAATAAATAAATAAATAAACAAATAAAGGTCACCACTTACTGACCTTTACGTTACAAAACTAGACTAAAAGCCTACAATCCGTTGAAACAAACACTTTAAGTTAAGAACTTGACCATTTTAAGGGGTTTCTTAACGTAAGGGATGTATTGTAACTGGGCTCAGAGAACTTTCACTTTCATTAGAAAAAGGTTCTTTATTGGCATCTATGGTTCCATGAAGAAACTTTAACATGGAATCAGTCAACAAAAGGTTATTTATAGTAGAAAAAGATTCTTCTTAGGCATTGCTGTGAAACCCCCTTTCGGAACCTTTATTTTTAAGGAGAAGACTTAGGATGCACCAATATCAAAATTTCTGGCTGATGCGACAAAACCATAATTAAAATTCAACACAAAAAAAAGAAAAAAAAAAAGAAAAAAAAAAAAGGATAGAATTAGTCATTTTAAGTGATTTTAGGCATCATAACATTATATTGTACATTATGAAATATGGATATTAACTTTGAGATTTGTGCAATATGTGCGACCACACAGGGCTTTGGACTTTAAAGGGTTTAGTGCATTTTAAATTCATTTTCATATACATTTTAATAATATAAAACATACATAATTTATTAGGCTGAAATGTAAAGTTTGTCATTTTATGAATTTTTTTTTTTTGCCAAAATTTTTATTATTTGAACTGTAAAATTGTAGTTTTTAAGTAATTTTATATTTTAGGGCAGGGATGGGCAACTGGCGGCCCTTTTAGTACAGCCCGCTTGGCTCGGATGATCAATTTTCTAATATTTGAAAAGTAAGCACGTAAAGATTGCTTTCAGTTTATAATGTCTCCAACCAGGAGAGGTCGCTAGTTTCCAGCCGCTCCCCGTATTAATTTCAGCGCAGTAGGACGTGAACTCTGTAAACATTTGCTAACTTTAGCAAATAATAAATGAAAAACTGACCATGAAAACAGTATTTTCCAGTCAAGATGGTAAACAGATTATCTTTTTAACAATTTCAATGGGATACTTATATGTTTGGAAATCTGTTATTTAAATCGCCATCACACCATTACGCACAAACAACGGGGACGCCAGAGTTGCACTTGGCTCAAATTTCAAAGGTAAAATGCATTGTCAACAAAAGCTTTTTTTGCCAAATGCATGACAGAAATGTTTGCACTGAACTATGTTCTTAGGGGTTTCCGCGGGTCCTTAAAAAGTCTTCAGTTAAGTCGTTTAAATGGAAGGCCATGAAAACTCTTAAATGATACAGAAAGACTTAATTATAAGAGGTCTTAAATTTGGGGACAGAAAGACAAGAATTGCTATATAGATTAGTATGTCGTTTAAACTTCAAAAGGCTATGATTTCACCAGTGGTGGAAAGAGTATACTGAAATGTTGTACTTAAGTACAAGTACTGTTACATTGCTGAAATAATTCTCAA